AGAGCTACGCCATGGTGGCCCACGCTACAAGATCCACCATTAAAAGCACAATTCCTGCCAGAAATGCACCTTCTCAGTCTATTTAGACTTCCAGGACAATGACATACATCATCTCTGAACTATCTTTGGTTCACCACTCCTGTCATCTTCCATCCCAGGCAAACGACAATTCCAAACAACACGGGGCCAAAAGCACAGTTTGGAGCCAAGGTTCACCCTTCCTCTGGGAAGGTGTTATGAGGGCTCAGCTTCCCTGCAGCCAACTCCCACCAGCTTCACCTTCCATCCCAATCCCAATCCCTCAAACCAGGCCCACAACACACCACCGGCTCCCTTCCCTCCCCTCTCCTCCTGCTCCCCACCAGGTCAGCCAGCATCCCCACAGCAGGGCTCGGGCAGCACCAGCCAAGGGGAGCTCTGTGGGACTCCACACCTGTCTGGGAGATGGATCATCTCCTGTGTTTCACCAGGAGCAGATCACCAACGTGGTGGCCTGTGGAGCCAGGAGCCAGCTCCCATCCACATGGCAGACCTTGTTCCCTGCACGAGCTGCTGCTCTGCCAGCCACAAGCACTGCTGAGCTCCACCTCGCCCATGTTTCCCTTCACAAGCTCTGCCGCTGTATTTGCACCTTAAAAATGGCTACACGTATAAGGTAATAGTTTAAAAATGACAAATGATTAGAAACACTGACCAGTTGATGACACATCGTGCCATAGTCCAAAATATTCACTAGGGCTAGCTTAGGCAAAATAACCTGATGCCAATTTTTGAGGCAGCAGCCCTGAAAATATAAGGAAATCTCTCAGGAAGGTCTGAGATGCAGCTCCTTGCTGGATAAAGCAGGAAGATTCCTCGGGGTAGAAGGTGAGGTGGGTGGGCAGCTATCATCCTGCACGCAGCACAGTGGGCAGCCCACTCCTGAAGGGGCCTAGCGCCAGAACTCAGCACATGTTTAACACACTGTAAGGGTGTTTAGGTTCACTAAGCTCTGAAATTACTTGCAAGTGAAGTGTTTGAAAGAAAAGCAAAACTAATAGTGAATTTTGACCTTTTTTCCAAGTCCATAAGAGGCACAAATGCTCTACATTAAAACATACAGAGATCCTCGTCAGCAGAATTACTTTCTGCAAAGCAAAACTCAAGCCCCAACGAGTTACCAACAGAACAGGAAAAAAAAAAAGTGTTTACACTGCATGAAGGTTTGACATGAAAAATCCTTCCCCCTCTAAGATGAGGAACTGCCTGACACAAGACTCACTACTCTCACAGCCACATGATGAGCAAGAGAAACAGAGAACAGAAATACCAGAGATGTGATGTAAAGTGGTGAACAGGCTAAAATTAGCTAACCTTCTGATTTCTCTTATGAAGGGAGGGTAAATTCTATTTTTATTTTTTTAATTATACCAAATGTCCTAGAGGGCACTAGAAAGTGCTGGAAAAGAGATTTTAAAATCTCAACATAAAATCACATACCTGTGTACACACACAGTACTAACATAAGTACACATACACATTTCTTGTTTCAGAAACACTAATTCAAAAGCAAGTATTACGAAATAAGGAGAAAAACACCCCCTTTACATTCATAGCTGTATCAGAATAATAGGAAATTCTACAAGGACTATTTTAGCTAAGGCAACATCTACTCCATCCTTAAAAGACAGATTGAGAGTATGCATCATTTTTTCCACTCCAGATTTTGTGTCTTACCTTTCCAAATAAAGCTTTCCTTCTTCCTATTGAAGTATTAACATTTTCACTACAAGAAAGGAAATTCTTATTTCTTTTTTTCACTTTCAGTTCAAGCTGGTGTTGCTCAGGGGTGGAATGAAATACAATGAAATGACTGAGTAGAAAATTAAGATTTTGTCAAAGGTCAGAGAATTAGTTAAATGACAAAGCAGTAGGCATAAGTACAGTACAGAGGACCACAGATTCAGTTCCTCTACGCTGCAAAGTTGAACTATTTTCTTTGTGGTACACTTGTTGATCTTGATAAATCTAATTTGAGACAGCACTGAAATTTTCTGATATACTACACTCAGTTTTCTTCAAGTGAATGTTGAACTGTGACACAGATCCGAGTTGTTGGTTTGCCTACACAGTTCAAAATATACTTACATGACTCCCCACTTCCCCTCCCATCTGAGCCTGACTGCACAAATACACTGGTGAAGTTGCAAACTTCTTTAGGGAAAGGCAGCTACGCTAAAAATCATAGAAAGGATGTAATAAGTGAAGAGGCACAATTGTGGTACAGAAGGGTGGGAAAGAAGAGAGCAAATAGCTGCACTGGGAAAAGAAGTAAAGAGAAAACTATTTGAAATGAACCACTGTGTGCTGGATCTGGTTGCAATGGAGTTAATTGCTTCATTGCAGCCCACAGGTTTTTGGCTTGCAACTAAAATTGTGCTGATGGCACACCAATGTTTTAGATGTTGCTTGCAGGGTGTCAAGGCTTTCTCTGTTCCTCAGCTCTGTCCCCTGCAGAAGCAGGCTGGGGCTTGCAGGAAGCTGGGAGTGGTCACAGCCAGGACAGCAACCTGGACTGACCAAAGGGACACTGCAGGTGATGTAATGCCAAACTCAGAAATGTGACTGCAGATTTGGCCTCTCCACGGTAGCCTCTATTTGGAGGCTGACGGGGCATTGGTCTGCATGTGGGAGGTTATAAGTGACTTTGCATCACTTTGTCTCCCCTCTACCCTTTACCCTCATTTTTAAAACTGTTTTGATCTTGACTCAGAAGTTTTCTCACTTTTGCTCTTTTGATTCTCTCCCCCACACGGCCACGGAGGAGTGAGAGACCTGCTGGGTGGGGCCTTGCTGGCTGGGGCGAATACACCACATACTAAAACCAGGAAATAATCTCAACTGTACTGATGGTCAAGTTATAAATTAACCTGGAAGTTAACCACAGAGACTATGCCTTTTTTTTCTCTTTTTCTTTGGCACATTTTTAAAATTATTACTATTTACTCTTCCCGAATTATCACATGCATATTTTAAAAAAAAAAAAAAAAATCCTAATTTTTCTCCAGGAAGTTGAAGAGATTTTTAGGAAAAAGTAAGCAAATACACAGCTCACACTGGCTTTCTCTTAATGTTAAACTCACTTTAGTTGCAAACATAATTACTCATATTAAGACACAGGCCAAGTTTAGGAAAAAATACGAGTTGGTTTAAAGTAGGTGTTCAATATAGGGCCGTGAGACTGCCATGGCAGCTGAAGCTGGAGTTGTGTTGCAGACTTGGCCAGCAGTCAATAAGCTCACCCAGACAGCATGGCAGCAAGCTGCCTCTGGCAATATTATAATATTATAATATTTATTCATCTTTGCATACCTATTTGTTCCCATATTTTTCTGGCCTATGGGTGAAATTCAGGCTGCTGAGATGAACTGTGCTAATGACAACAGAGTGAGAACGTCACTGTCAGAAAACACCGCAATAACAATCTTAGCTTGCAGACATAATTACAACTTCAGTACAAAGTTCATAACTTTTTCTTCTAATATAAGCAAACATGGTTGTTGAATTCAGAGAGAAAAGGGCAGGATTTTCAGATATGAGTGATGGTTTTCACTGCGTGCTTTTTAATTTGCGCACAAAGACTTTTTGATATGAATGCTAACAGGAGCCCATTACTCTTCCTCGGCATGATAGGTCTTACTCCATTTGAAGGTGCTCTGTTTTCATCAGAAAAGCAGTCCCCATCGTGCTGCAGGAAGTTTTGCAGGTGTGCACCCTGCTTTTCCTTACTTAGGCCTTGCTAGAGCAACAAAACAAAAGGTGCACAGAGACACAAAAGCACCCGCAGCAGCTGCCCTGCCTAACAGGCTGCTATCATTGAATCAGTGTCGCTGCTTTGAAGCTGTATCCTGAACAAAGGTTGCTACTTAGCACTCCTTGCAGCTCATTTGGAAAGAATTTGTTTTATAATTTTAAAAAGTGATTTAGAAGAAAAAAAAAAAAGTCTGTGCTTTGGGAAATACAGCCACAGAAGCAACGGGAGACCTTCTACTTAAACACATTTCAGCAGAAAGTCTGCCTGCTGCCCTCCTACACACCAGAGAATCTGTGCACACTTAAACCACAATAGAAGGGTGCCACAGCACTGCCTTTACTGCACAGTAGTAGGTGGGCTGACAAATTAGTACACTCATGCTAGGTAAGGCTCAATCTGAGTTACCCCAAGCAGATTTTTTTCCAAATAAAATAATCTGAATTACCTGGGGTGAACTTAGCCACTGTCCCTGACCTTCCCTCTGCAGAGATAAAACAGCAGCTGCACAGCCTCCACCTAAACTAGAAATACCTGATTTAGAGTGTTTCTGCTGTTCCAGCTGTGGGTGAGCAGGGAGAGCTCAGCAGGGTCTCTCATCCCTTGTAAGACTCTTCATTTCCTTGCTCTACAGCTTTGCTTTGAGGGAGTGAGAAGGACAGAACTGAGCCCATTTTTCCTGTTCTGTCAGTGGGAATAACCAGAAAAGGCTCAAGAAATTCTGGAGACTGAGATAGGTAGGCCAAATGCTGAGAAGAAAAGGAGTCTTAAACAAAAGTAAAACCACTTCTCTCTGCCTTCTCTCACTCTGTTAACACCTCTCCTGCCCCCATCACCAGTCACCACATCGGTTTCTCTTCTCTAATTTAATGAGTCTGGAGCTGACTTGGAAAGAAAGACAGCAACTACAACAAGGAGAAGTTTCTTATGAGCTTGTATGATGAAGTAGGAGCCTGTTTGGTCAGTCAGTGGCTTAACCTACTTTATTTTAATGAATTATCCACGAAGTGGGATTCACAGAGGTGCCATGTCAACATCGTCTGAGATCATCACCGACATCATCGGGCAAGCTCTGAAATTAGTTCTAAGTGGCAGTACTTTGTGTGGAGTCTTAACAAAACCTATATGTAAGCACCAGCCAAAATAAATTATCATCTTCTCCCCTGCAGAGGTGTGCTATTACCTGCCTGACGCCAGGAGGAATGCCAGCATGGCATGCCGCTACACTGTATGTGAACCAACCACAAGGAAAATTATAAACTGGGATTTTTTTTTTTTTAAATTCAGAAAAATATTGAGTCGTGACATATGCAGCTCAAAGGATCCACTGAAGGACTATTTTAATTTTTTTGTCAATGGAAGAGTTTCATAATCTGCTGAAGGGTGGTTTTTTTTCCCCATAAAAATTCATTATATAAAACTATTTTCCGTGAAATATTAATTAACACATTGTAAATATCAAAATTGAGATCATTACTGAGGCCCACATAACATAATTATGGCATTGAGAACTGCTCTCAAAATTTAAAGGGTCTGACCCATGATGGTTTCAGCCAAGTCCAAAACTCTGAAACAGTTTAATTTCCTAGCAGTTTTGTAACATTTCTTGTAGCAATGAGATTTGCCTGACAAGACCCTTTGCCTGGAATATACTTTTGATGTCTGAGAAAAGCCTGACATTTCCACTTCCTATTTAATTTTTAAGTAACTACTGCTTTAAAGTTCTGAGCCCAAGTTTCCTGCCCCAAGTAAACCAAATCTCTTCATTTTTTTACTTTCATTTTCCACTTCTGCTTTTCTCTGCCAGTAATATCACTTGCAGCTGAGTCCCAGTGGCACAACAGGCTTCCTAACCCTACATTTTCCACATTTTCTGTAGAACTGATCATCACTTCGTCTTCTGTGTCTGAATAAAATAAACTCCAAGGCTATGCATTACAATCTTCTAAAAATAGTGCCATGCCTGTTCTCCTGCAGCTACAGCAAAGCCTGATTTCAGTGCTGGAGATGAGGAAGCATCTCACACTGTTTCTGCATGAAGAAAAAAGCATTCCCATCAGAATGTGATCTCTGATCCTGGCAGAGCTCTATCTTGAATAAACTTGTAATAAATACACTTTACTAGTGCTATAAAGTACTGTTCTACAAATCTATTTTAATTATGCAACTTGACAGGTCCCTCTCCTATGCAATGGTCAAAGTACCTTTGAGAGTGGGATTTGTTGTTTGTTTCTAATAAGGATTCAGAATATGAACATGCTACTTATTCATGTAGTAGCTCACAAAACACTGTCCTTCTGCAGGGAATGGGATGTGCTTCTACAGCCACGCTCAGACCTTCACTGGACTATTGTGTGTGTTATGACTTAAACCTGGGTCACCATTCATACCTTCCAAGAGCCTGGATCTTAGAGCTAATCCCACAGCTTTCCACCCCAGCACTCATCTCCATCATGGCAGATTACAAGGCAGAGTGTACCTCAACCATCATATGCTTTTTTAAACTTTAGTCATAATTAATTCATTTCTATTGAAGATTTTTTTTTAAGTGAAAACCCTAATGTATAGTGTTAAGAAGTAACACCAAACAAAAGCCTACAAGCAGTTTATGGTGTTCAACCAAAAATCAGTTGCTGACTGAATCTGATTCTTCACACTGAGGCAAAGTTTATTTAAAAGAAAAATCCAATAAACATTTTTTCCCCTCAGTTCCTCTGACAAGATTAACTATATTCTGCTTCAGCAATAAGAGATAAAAAAAAGAAAAAAATTCCCATTAAAATACAAGCCAATTGAAATGTTCTTTTTTTTTTTTCCTCCAGTGTGTCAATTGGACACTTCAACTTCTCTGTGACCCTGAAGAGGAGAGAACATTCCTTTCAGCCTTGCTGCGGTGTTTTTCCAATTACACTAACAGGCCTTTTTGCCCAGTAGCAATCCAGGCAGAGCCGGCTGGTTTGGTGCAATCTGGAAGTTTGTTGTAACAAGAGACAGAACAAAAAACACAAGGAAGAGCCTGGCAGCTGCATAAAACTCCCTCCAAGCTCTGTTCTCCACAGAAGTTCACCAGCCTCAGCAATCAGCATGACCAGCCAGTCTCAGGGAATCCAGCAGCTTTTGCAGGCAGAAAAACGTGCCAAGGACAAACTGGAGGAAGCCAAAAAAAGTAAGTGGCTGGCCTGGTTTTACTGTACTTCTCAAGTGCAAGCTCTTAAGAATTACAGAGGATCACAGAAAAACATTATTTCATCTGTATGCATGCATTAACGCTGTGCCTTGACTGCAACCAGGCGTTTAACCAAACCTGAACATGCAGAGTTTGCTTAAGATTCTATGCTTGTGTGTGTATGCACATGTGCCTTATTATGTTAAAAAGGTTTTCTTTGTTATGTTTATCCTGTCATCCGGATTTATTCTTGCTTTATCTCAATGCCAGTAATGTCATTACTCCCTTCCTTAGCTATTTAATTTGAATTCTACATGCCTCTGGCTGCCAGCTCTGCAAGACCACACTCCAAATGCTATTTTTCTTCCTAAGTCCTATTAAAATGTTCCTCTTTCCTTGCAAAATCTAGTAACTTGTCTCCTAATCTCAGCTGGACTTAAAAAATTTATATGAAAACAAAAGGGAAACTTCAGCACCACAATAGTAATCAGTAAAATCACAATCTCCATACTGTGATAGATCATTTGTAGAAGTTTTATTACATGGTGCAAGTAATTTTTCTCCTGAGTGTAGGCACCAACCCCTTGAGCCACTGACCTGCATTAGCACTGAAACACTGATAACTGTTCCATGGAGTTATCCTGCTTTGGAAACCAGCAGCAGGAAACAATGCTGTGCTGCAGAACTCAACTAAAATGCCTGACAGTGATGTCATGTGGAGCAAGAGTGTGATAAGGAATATATTTTGTTTTCCAGGGAGAAATGGAAGCTAAACAGAAATAATTTGTGTTGTCTCCATATCCCCTCTGCACTGCTGTAGAATCAGCACTGCTGTGTGTTCATTAATTATTAGTGTTACATCTCAATTTGTGCAGCAGCACACAAAAAACACATAGAAAGGCAAGTCCCGTTCCCTGAGCACCCAACCACTGCCTGTGCCCTGCAGAAGCAATAGAGAGGAAAAAAAAATTCTCTCTCCTCCATAAAACAGAACTCTCTCAAATGCAAGCCTGAAAGCAAGGGATAATGAAAACAGGTAAAAAGCCAAATATAGCCAAAACAGGTGCGCTGGGAGGGGTGTTTTTTCCTTTCTTATGTAAGGCAGAGGAAACACACTGTACCCAAAACAAGAAAGCATATCACCTGGAAAGACACAGCCCCAGTGGAGGGAGGGAGACTGTGGCCTGAAGACAGACTGCCTTTAACTATGATAGCTTGAAGCTGATTACCCCTTACTTTTGGTTTAAGGGTTTTTTTGTTGCCTTAATTTCCTTTGGGTTTGTTTTTAAAACCAGATGAGTCAGTTTAGCTTTTTCTAAAACAGCCAGTTAAAAAAGAGGCTTCAAAACTTAAGGAACTTCAAAAATGTAAATTATCATTATAACATAAAAGTAATGACTGAAGATGAATGTCTTGCAGAATCCAGGTACAGTTGCAGGTGCATTTACTCTACTCTGCAAAAGACACACTCCTGTGTCATCACCTCAGCCTCATTTGGAGTGCTTGTGATAAATCACAGGGTTTCTTACAGATAAAGTATCTTCGAGATCTCTCTGAGTCAGAAACTTGAATTAAACCACGACCTACGCTTACCTCACCACTAATACACTGGTAGGAGTTAATAACCAGCTACAGAAAAACAGCTATTAAGAATTTTGCTAACAGTAAAAATGTTTAGAGTGAAAATAATTCATCAGTATGACTTTCTTCTCTATTCTTTTTAAGGCCATACTTTTCTTGCATTTATACGAAAATGATTAAGAAAAATAAAACATTCAATACACAAATTTAAATGTAAGAAAACAACACAATAACTGTGAGGGAGGAACAGGCTGCCCAGAGAGCCTGGGGAGTCCCCAGTTTCAGAGATACTCCAAACCTGCTGGATATGGCCCTGGTCAGGCTGCCCTTGCTCCAAGCAGGAGCATACCCTGTAGATTCCTTCCAGCCTCAGCAGCTCTGTATGATCCCATGAGAAACTTCAGGAATTTCCAAAAGATTTTTATTCCTGGGTATAGCAGATCAAGGGCAAACAGTTTCAACAAATCCACCCTGGATTTTGTGCTAAACCAAGCATTATAGCTAATCTAGCAGAATAATTATACCTAGGCAATCATTACATTCGACACTACAAGAGGTTTGCAGTGAAGCTACAAAACAGAATTCAAAATTCCCTTGTTGCCATAATTTCAGTATTTTTCATAGCAGTGTCACTACTCCACCTCAGATACTTAACTGTACCATCACAACTTAAATCCTACGGGACAAGGACAAAAGGGATTCTTTTAGAGGCAAACCTGGCAATGCCAAATTGGAATTACTTCAACAGTCTCTTCCTTGGAGTGATTCTGCAGTTAGATCAGATTGCAGAGTTTGTCTCTAAGAATAAAAGCTAGGATGAAAGGAAGTACATGAAATACAACCAATTTATCCAGCACAGCTGGTTAACCTGGGCACACAGCTGGGTGAAACAAAGCAAGAACGTGCTGCTTCACCCAGAAAGTGCCAGCCCAGATCCACCTGGTACCAGTTCAGATCAGCAGCTTCTGCTCAGGGCCTGGGCTCAGCAGGTCTGGGCTGCAAGTGAAAGCAATGAACCCGTCCAGGCAGTGCCAGTGCAGTCCTGTCCCTGTAAACTGTGCCTGTGACCTCCTTTGTCACCACAAACGGGCACTGCACAACACCCCTGTGCCAATGAGTGTGGCTGTCCTGCTTACACTGGAATGCCAGAAGAATGAATGGCAGATTGCTCATGGGACACAACCAGGAAAAGGCCTTTTCAAGGAAATGTGAAGAGCAAAACTACCCTTCAGTGTTTACAGCTGATACACAACCAGATCAAAATGCAGTGTGAACACACGTAATGTTGTATATAAACAGATAAGAGGCCTAGTTTTTGCTGACATATGTGCAGTTCTTTGTAATTCAAACCCCACCTGAAATAACTGAAAAAATAGTACATAAAATTATGTTGATAGACATGAAACACAGCAAAAATATGGTGCTAAAGCTCCTCTGTACATGCTTTTTCATGCTTTTAGCTCAATACCCTTTATCCTGCCTTGCAATATCTTTACTGTATCATTGGCCCATATCCGTTATACCTGACAAATTAATAATACTTGAATTAACTAGTTAGTAAATGCACATCTGCAAGCCTGAAACTATTAAACTGATTAAACACAAGCCAATCCAGTCTGCAATGCTTTGGCCTTTAGAATGCAGCTCTGCTTTATCTATCATTTTTACTTAAAGCATAACTTGGATCCCAGAAATAACTGGGCACTGTCAGAGCCAAGACATCAATTCCTGAAAATCCTCTTGGGTAAAACAAGGGAAACAAATGTGTCATGAACACTGGGCTTAGCAATACTTGTTTTCCTATAGATTTTTATGGCTTGGCTTGAATTTCTCGTGCCTAATAAAATGAAAATTGAGATGAAAGATTTCAGGAAATCAGATTAAAACCAAATGTTAATCAAAATAAGATATTATAAACAGAATTATATCCATGGCACTCTCTCGGATAATATCCAAGACATATTTTATCTACTGAAAAAAAAGCTATATATACTGATCAGCTGCTTCTATTGTATTTTATTAACAGTACAAAATAGTCTTCACAAAATGAGCATCCCCAAATCCCAATTTGCAGACAATTTAGTGCTCTTGAAGACAAGTGAAGCAGTTCTATTTTAGGAAAATATGATTAATCTTTGGCAACTTCTTCAAACGATTTGATTTCTATGCAGAAATTCAGCTAGAAGCCTAGATGATATGTTTGAAAACAAAAAGCCAATTTTAGCATTGCAGTTTTTGGAAAGTAAGATAACTTACTATTTGAACAAATTAGAACGCAGCATTTTTGCCTCCTACTGTCTTTTTCTTGTAAGATCTAAAAAACCCCAATAATCTGAAAGAGACCAGTTCTTTTGGATCTAACCAGAGCTAGGTACTTAATTACCACCACAGAAATACCTAGGAAGAAGAACACAGCCTTTCCCCATGCTGATAATAACTTCCCATGCTAGGCAAGAAAATCTAACACAGGGCTGACTTTTACAGCAAGTTGTTTAAGATTTGGTCAATTTTACACGATGCCTAAAAATGTATAGGCTGTCAGCTACCATAATCACGGACAAGAGCGGACAGGGAAACCAAGCACAGCACAGCTGCTTTGCTGCTCCCTGTCTTCAAGGATGGAAGGAGGGACAGAGGGGCAGTGGCAAACCAGAGGGGCAGGGCCCCACAGCACACCCTTTGCGGCAAAATCTCTTCAAACTTGGAGCTTTATGTACCCCACCTGTATGGTCACAGAGGAAATGTCACAGAGACAGGTGGGTTTGCCCATCTTCCTGTGTTTCCCGTCCTCTTTTTGCACGACCTTGGCTGAATTTCAATGCTTTGCCACCCTTCAGCGTGTAAGGGTTGCACAGAACCCAACCCAGCGGATCAGCAAGGCTTTGAAAAGGCAGTCCCGTACTGCACAACCAAGGTAGCAGACAAGTGGTTAACAACAGACTGATTAATTAATTTTGGTTTGTCTCTAGTGGAACAGCGGGTTAAGCTCTAGTTTCTGCTTAACTTAATCAGGTGCAGCATATGCACTGTCGCATATGTTGGCAGTTGCCGATTCTGTCCACAACTCTGTTGAACTAGCAGTAATTTACTCACAGCTTTTCCACTTAATTAAATAGGAAGCAGCAGGTTCCTGCTGTGCCAATCCTAAAGGCATCATGGTAAAATGAAATGGCTGCCACTCCACAGTGGCACCCTTTGTATTGTGCTTACTCCAGTGCACTGTCAAGAGCTGACACGTATGTATATATATATATATATATATATACATTTTGGTTCACTAGCTACATTGTCAGAGGCAAGTGAACTGCTGTTTTACAGTAAATCTCCTTCCATTTTGTGCATTTTAAAAGGATGTATTTATCTATCTGGTGGCCAAATATGCAACATATTTACTACAGATGGCCCCCCAGATGGAATTTGAAATTAAAATCCCACTGATTTTGAAATAATTTAATTTGCTATAGAGATCCAGTTCCTCAGCTGGTGGAATTGGCAGAGCTTCATCATAGTCACTTCCCCCCCGAATGCCAGCTCCAGAGAATCACCCCCCAGCTCCACTCCTAGAGGAAAACTCTACAAAAGGCTGATCAGCTCCAAATTTGGAGAGGAGAATAAGGGAAACTTCAAAATACAGATCTAAACCTGGTTCCAAATTTTGTTGTCCAGACTGATGTCAGACTTTTACACAAATCTGTCTGTTCACCCAACACTTCATACAGTGAGTGGCAGAAGCTGGTGGAATCAGTCTTTATCCAACAAATACAAATTCTAGGAAAACACCCTCTGGATTTTAAACTGCCTCTCTCCCCTTCATACATAGGCACAGTGGCAGAAGGACTCTGAGAAATATAATTTACTACACAAAAGAACCCTGCACTCGTGACCTGAGAGTCAATAAAGCTATCTAGTTCCTCAGCAGTTTGCTCCTTCCTGTAAAAAGCCTGTATACAGCCACACACCCAAGGTTCCCCAATAAGCATGCCCACAAAAAAAAAAAAAAAAACAGTCCAGGAATCAAGACTTGAAAAGGTAATTCACCTTTCAGACATCTCTCTGCTTTTACTTACCCATCTGCAGGTAGTGACTTCAGAAGGAACCATCAGCTGGGCAAGTAGTTTCCTGACGGATCAGGCATTTTACCCAGGCTTTTGCTGAAGTTCAAATATATTGAAACCAACAACCTTCCTCTCAAGCTTCCTCATTGTGCCATGCTCAGTGGAAGCAGTGGTTGCTACATGCCACACCTGATAAGGTTTTAGAAGCCCAGCTCAGGTGTAACCAATTCAATGTAACAGCCTAGAGAAAACAAACCAGAAATATTCATGGTTTTCTTCCTAGCCTAGGTGGAGAACGTTCCTTAGGATTTCAGAAAAGGTACCTTTCACCTTCTGTGCTTGAATTAGTTACAGTAAGTAAATTAATTGATGTGTCACACGTGAAATCAATTTGCCTAGGATGCCACTTTCATCCTTGTGATATCCTAATTTAAGCAACTAAGCAATTTTTCAGACATCAAGGATACTTCTCCTGTTAAGAAAAGGGAGCAAACTTATTCTCCCCCGCTCCTAAAATTGTAGCTGTACAGAAAGAGACCCCATAAATCAGCACCAGCCCAGGTGTCTCAAGTATAACATATCAACATTCAATGCAAGGGGTTTAGAGTCCCATCAGTTAGAAAATGACTTTTCTCTCACAAAGTAGTGAGTGTAGCAGAATCCACGCAACTTTTCTGACTTTGTACAAAACAGGCAGACAGAGAAGTCCATAGGGGCTTTTATGACATTTTCACCAGCTCCTTCATGTAAAACCTTAAACATCACATTCCCATCAAACCTTTTGCTCTTATCCTTTACACAACATCCTTGCTAGACCCAGGAACTACCTTACTCCCAGTCCTGCAATGACTTACATGTGCCTGATTTGACAAACCCGTAGTATTTTACCTAAAACAAAGTACCTATTCACAGCAAACAAAATTAAGTATGTCAACAAGCCTGGTCAGAAGGAAGGCTCTAGTTTCCACTGCACCCTACAATGTCACCTTAAAGATCCCCTTCTCCTTTAAAATGAAAAGGAAAAAAAAAGTTTTTTTTAATCATTCATATTTTCTATGCACTGTTAGAGGATGCCATTGACCTCCTTCTTCTCTTAATCACTCACCTCTGCATTTGACAAAGGTTAGGAAAAAGGTGGGGGAAGAAAAGGACAAAGCCTGAAGGTTGCAACTCAGTTTGGTAATGGTTAAGACATATCTTGCAGTATTCTGGAAATTTGCCAGCTCTAAGCAGAATCCAGTTGGTGTGGGATGAAGGGATGCTGGCAACCAATAGATACAGCAAATCTTACAGAATAACGTCTTTTCCCATCAGTGACAACTAAAATCTGTTATCTGGCTGCTACTATTGCTGATAAAGAAAAGACAGATATTTATTTAAACACCAAGCTGTGATTAAAAAAAAAAATAATAAAAAAAAAAGGCATTTGTGCTACAAGAAAATGTGTAGTTGCAAAAAGACTTCTGTTGTTAGCAAACCAACAAGCTTTTCATCTGATGTGTGCTTCTGCACAGGAAGTTGGTCTCAGAAGATGGGTCCTTGCATGACTGGCTGCCAATCACAAAGTACTCTACATAAATCACTTAGGCTGTTCTGACCATTCTTGTGCAAATAAACTTGATGGACAAAGCTTTCAGCAAAGTCAGCGTTTTACTGTGCCATCTAAAACGCCTCTGTTTTAGAGAAATTCATCATTTGGGAGGCAATAAATCAGTTGGGAGGAAATAAATCAGTTTCTTCCCTCACTAGGAAAGGGGAAAAGGCTGAAGCAGGCCAAGGAAGAAGCCACAGCCGAGATAGACCACTACAGGTTACAGAGGGAGAAGGAATTTAGGAGCAAGCAAACGAATGTAAGTAAGAAACATGCATATGCCCTTTTGTAGCATCAATCTGCTCAAAGATAAACCAAATTGCTTCCAACAGTATTACATGGAGACGTCTGCAAATCAATGCAATCACACTGATTAAACAGAGATATCAACCTACGGTGTGCATATGCTTAATTTTTACTTTTTCACAGGCTTTGAATGCATTGGTAGAAGAAATTGTGGACTCTTACCACTAAAATTGTCCAGATTCCATATTTCGTTCATGCTTGTACTTTGAAGACATGTCTTCCTTAAGGAAAAATACCTTTGGGTGCTCTTTCCATAACTGCAGACAGACCTCATTCCTGCCTTGAAACTGGAGGTTTCAGTAAGGTGGATGTCAGTTAAAGCAAAGATTTAAAATGTTTCTTTCTATTTCTATTCCACTTTAGCTGTCTGACACAAGACTGCATCTTTTATCAACTAAAATCACCAAGATTTTGGAGTTTCTCCACTTTGTTTCTATAGTGAAAGTGGCTTGGCTGATATTTTGATATCTGAGTTAAAGCCATTTAATACATTTATGGTATCTTGCATTTTTGTCTAGTATTTTCATGACAGTTCACAAACCATTCCCTTTTTACCTGGTGACCTTCCTCTTACGTATTTGCTCTTGTTTTTTCCCTCAGCTTGTATTGTGAAAAGGCAGTGAAACCACTTGTGCAAAAATGCCCACCAAAAAAAGTCAAAGAGGTCAAATAGAAACTGCTTTACAAACGTGTCATAAAACATTTTCAGCGGGGATCACGAGCCTTAGGAACTTATATAGACACAAAGCCTCTAACATACAGTGCCAGCCCTAGACACACTGTCACACAAGCAGGCCAGGTAGAACTGCCTCATTTCTACAATTTCAGATGTTTACTGACACTGAAATAAAGCAAAAACACCTCTAAAACGTGTTCACCTTTTCAGTCGAACCAGACTTCTTGTTTTAGGTCTTAAATAGCAAAAGAGTAAAGACGCTTTGTTGTGAACTCCATTTTTTTCATCACAAACAAAATTAAAGCTGCAGGGAAAGGCCACTATTTGTCGACTGAGCATTTCTCACAAGCAGGACAGAACACATATTGCTCCTCAAATGACAGCATGTTGTACAAGATCATCACAGTCCTCCTTCACGTTCCATGACCCCATTATGTCGAACATTTATCTACCCAGACAAATGTCATCATCATTAACCTGTGTCTGGAAGGCACTCAGGAGCTTCAGCAAAGCTGGTGCAGAGGGAGGTCTGATGCCCAGTTCAGTTTACTTGCTCAGGCTATTTGGACACAAATACGTAAAGTATTTTTAATTCTTTGTCACAGTCTCATTTAATGCTATTCCTTCTCTTACTTGTTGTTGCTCATATCCAAAATGGAGTACGTTTTCTCACACTGTGGGATGTTCCACATCCATCCAGAATTAACAATAGCAACAGAAAATAACAATTAACTTGAGGTTAGAATGACAACATGAGTGACACTTTTTCAAAACATGCAAAATTTTTAGCCTGCATCTCAAACCAAGTTTGCTGGTGTTCATGGTGTTTGTACTCAGGGTGTGAGATCAATGAACTCTGGAGATGCGCAGCCTAGTTCTGAATTTTGTGGCTTCCAAGTCAATGCAATATTTTAGCAACTTTGGAACGATGCTAGCACAAAAGCCCTATGGGCAAAATAAGGAACAGACCCTCAAGGCCAGCAGAAATCATAGACTACGCAGAGCATTGTCTGTATTCTGAAAACAAAAAGGTCTCCAAATTCAGAAGCAGAAAAAGAGGAGGAAAACACATACAAGTGTTAGAATTTACTATCTCAAGTTACAATGTTAGCATGAGCTGAGAGCAGGTCTGCAGAGGCTCTTCTTAAAATTATAATACTGTTCTTGAGGTTTTTCAAAAGTATTTAGTAGCCGGATAACATGCAACCATCTGGGATCTCTACAAAGTTATTTTTCCCAGTGGAAAAAATCAGCTTCATAAATCTGGCCTAAGCTGTTCAGCCTTTCCCATATGTGACCCTTGCAACTTGTCTAAAAGCTAAAATAAAATGTCAGCTAAAAATAGTTACTATAGAAAACTATAATCTTTTCCCAGTATTAACTATTATGCCTACAATCTAGATTTCTTCCAAACTGAAGTATTTCACATGTGAATTACAGACTAATGTCTTACTACATTGTCAGGTACTGATAAATGGAACTGCGAGGGTGATTTTTGAGCAAAAGATCTTAACAAAGTTGCTTTCCTTCTTTTAAGAACTAGGTTGGGCCAAAACCACATGGAAAATAAAGCTAATGACCTCGTTTCTGGTCATCCTCTAGGTATCCCACTGATGTATCACAGGTTAGCTTCACCTGCTAGTCCACCCCAGAGGATCACGGCAGGAACAATAATATGTTACTTATTCCTTTCTTATTCTGCCAGCATGTGGAAAAGTCTCCTGCTTTCCCCCATGGAATTCTTTAGGTGGAAAACAATTTCTCTGCTGGTATCTGAAGGACTTTTCCATAAGGGAAAAATTCAAGGGATGTTGGGGCAGTGGGGGAGGAGGGAGCAAAGTCGCGGATTTGGAACGTGTGCATCTGTTTATAACATAACCTTGCTAAAATGTTCAGCGAGTCCAGAGTCAATTAAATTCTAAGCGAATGTCCTGATATTAACTGTGCCAGAAGCTGTCTGGTATTTCGCCAGATAAGAAAATGTAACATTAAAAGACCTTGTCTGAGGTCTGTTGAGGGTTATACATCACTAACTGCTGAAGACATTTCAAGTACTCTGCAACTGTAATTATGCATTGTCAGGAAGGCTTTCCCATGTTTTGCTCCCTAGCAGCGCTCATGTGCATTCTCAGCGAGGCCAAATGAAGCACACGGGTGATAGAACTTAGCTGACTAGTCATTAAAATAGAAAACAAATTAAAAGGAGTGATATAAAAGACAAAACATTACGATGTTGTTCCCACACTGAGCTGGGAAACTTTCATTACATGGGGAGATTGCCATTGCTCGTGGGCACATGAAAGAGTTGCCTTTAATCCTGTTTTTATGCCTACAGTTCTACCTAGATCATACCCCTGCTGTTAGGAAGCGCTGTGACGTGTTTGGGCTATGCTTATGCTGGATGATGAAGAATAGTACAATAAACATAGTCATATATAACCTTTTATTTTGCTCAGAAGCCCTCTGCTTTTCAGGTAATGGGCTCCCAAGGTAACGTCTCTGCTAAAATAGAAGAGCAAACAGCAGAAACCATTCGAAACCTCACGAGCAGCTACCACAGGAACATGGAGACCGTGATGAAAAAGCTCTTGAGCACAATATGTGACATCAGCCCTGAAATTCACCCTAACTTCAGACATGAAGTTTAAGATCCACTGATGTGCTGTGTTTGTAAAAAGTAGCCTCCTTTCTTGATAAGCATAAATACTTCCTCATGTATTGTTTCTGCACGTGTGAGAAAAAAAAAAGAACACTAAAGCCAAAAGCACACAATTCACACAGGCTTTTGATGTGACAGGAATTATACATGGTTTTGCAAGCATTTGTTGTAATATTGTTTCCTGTTAGTAGCTAAGCCCCTGTCATTTAGACAGGGGCAAGTCAACAACAGTAGAATAAATGATTATTTGACACCACCAGCTTTTCAGTGGGAGTCTTTATTCCTTTTCTTTTATAAAATGTTCTGTACTGGGATGTTGTGTTTCACAAAATCTGTTTATCTCAATCTTTACTGTACTTCTAGGCATATGACACGTGGAGTGGTCAGCTTATGGACCATACAGGAACCCTTTAGATTTTGGTCAGAAAGGGTCAAAACATTTTCAGTCTTTCTATGCTAATTTAAAGCAAAATAGAGTGACTTGTACAAAATTTTGCTAAAAGCCATACTCAAAATATGGTCCTGTTGCTTAAATACACCACAAATTTTATATGGCTTTGCTAAGTTTGAAAAATGAGAACGGGCATAATCATCACTTACAAAACTGCTTTGGAGCAAGGGCCAGACTAGCACATCCATCATTATACAGTTACCCTGAAAGCACAAGAATCCATGGGCTCAAACTCTACACCAGTGACGCTAAATGGTACCTGAATCCACAGGTTGTTTACAGAAGTCACATCAGTTACAGCTCATTTCTGTTATTCTAAGTCACCTTGAGCAATGTTTCCCTCTGCAATGGCACAGGCTTCCCCTGGAATAAATTCTACTGAAGTTAGGAAAATAGAATATGATCTGTGCTTTCAAGGTGAAGCCTATTCAGTCTGATGGGAGGCACTGATGAAGTGGGGATCTGACACACACCTGCACCACAGGCCCCTTTAATGCCTTGTCTCCACTACAAAATTATACTGAGTTAGAAAAAAAGCTTGAGAAATTGCAGCAACTGGCAAACAATAGCCATGATTTTCAGTCTACGTAGACACAGAGAAATCATTTCAATTTCACAGCAGCTATCACAGGCAATCTCCTGTTCCAGTGAGGTTTACACAGCTGACATGCTATCATGTGTAAAATGACTGTAAAGCTGTAGTCAACCTAATGTCAACAAACATGACTCCTCAAGGCTGTGCCTGGATGCTACATAATCCCCAAACCCTGATTGTCACAGTCTCCTGTGCTTGATTATATTCTCTGGGGACCCAAGGATGCTGAGCAGTGGGACAGAGACTAGAAATCCTATTGACATCAGCTGGAAGGCTCATTTATTTAGGGGTGCTTTGAATCGAGCTGTGATAGCCTTTGATTTGCTAAGGGGATGAAGGAACTCCAGCTCCAGGCTATGTGCAGGACCTAATGCAGGCACCCTCCTGCACAGCTTGGGGCACTCAGGGCTGCCTCACTGCACAGGCACATGTGCCTCTGGTTTGGGTCACAGCTGCAGTCCCAGTGCAAGGCTCAGCTGTGAGACACGTTCTCTGTGAACCTAAACAGTCACCAAGGTGGACACTAACACCTCACAGGATCTCGCTGCAGTGCTCAGGACTGCTCCACTTTCCCTCTGGTTTACCTCAGCACCTTTTTCTCCAGCTATAACTTCTAAATATACAGAAATGTTGCAGGTTCAGCTGCAAAACTAAAGCAATGTGGGTTCCTTTGCCAGCAGTATTGCCACATCCTGGTGGGCAGCAAACTAGAGTGACAGCTTTTCAGGAGGCAGCAACCCAGGTTACATTTTATGGCATTCCCCCTTTCCCACTTTCTTTCCAAAATCTGTCTTCTGTCATCAACTTCTCTTGCAAGGCTTCTGCCTTCCTTTCCAGGCTCTCTCTACACGTCTGGTCCTAACAGCCACACACATCTCTTATTTTAGCATCTTCCTTAAAATACACTCTCCCATGAATACCCCTTCCTCAACAAAAACACAGGCACATGGTGGGGGACAGCAGAAGCCACGAGCAGTGAGGATGAGCACTGTCTGGAGGGGATTGTGCAGCTGTGCCACTTCCCATGCAGTGACACTGCACTGCAGTCAAGGCCATGACCTGTCTATAGCCCTGCTATCACCTGCATTCCTGAGATACACATGGAGTCTTAAGTACTCAGGCTTTCTGAACATGATTCTGTGCTCCAACTGGGGCCAGTTCATGTCTATCTCTCATGAAGAAAGAGTGAATTTGATATTATTAGGCCTTTGATCTTGGGAGGTATAAATCTGAGAGCTTTGAGCACTCTGCACATTTCCTCTCTTCTGCATTCTTTCCTTCTTCTAGACAGGGAATGGGTGGTCATACCACCACTCTAAGGTGTACAGAGGTAAAGGTCAAATTAGACTTCACATAATTTGGCCAGACACTAGGTTTTTCAAATGAAGACTGTAAAGTACCAACTGCATCCATGGAATATTGAGGTGCCAAGAAAATGCATGCGGAATTTACAAGTGCACAAAATCCCTGGTGTGTGACAGTCATATAACTCATGATAATGACAAATAATCGCTCCATACAAAACAAAAAGAAGAAGGATGTTTACATTCAAAATGGTTTTAAATGCATAAAAGAAAGGTAAAAATGTTTAGCAGTCACCTACCAGGGATGATTACAAATGCCCTGCCATCTTCCAGGAATATCCCTGGACCCCAGGGATCTTCCAGCCCTCGCAGTGCCCTGACACTCTATTACCTAATATGCCCCAATGCAGTTGCCAAATAAAATGGCAACCTATCACATATCAAAACACAAACAGATTTTAAGAAATAGAAAGCCACATATAGGTAGCACTAATGCCTGTATAAATCCTTCTCTTTTGTTTCATAATTACCTCTGAAATCTTAGCAAACACCTGAAGAGCTCCTGTGAAAGCTTCCATCTTTCCAGCCACACTTTTCCCTTGGAAATGGTGGTTGCCTGACCATAGCACCACTACAGACACAGGGATTTTCCCCGTGTTGTTGGGAGCCGACTCTGGAAGGAGTAACTAAGTGTACATAATGACAGTGATTAGCACTTTCAGTATTTCAATTAGTAGCTTCTAATTATGAATAAATAAGTAAGCAATGAGTGAAGCTGTTCCCATAAAAATCAACTGCAAAACTCCCGCAGTGTGAAATATTAGGACTGAAACAACAAGCTTGAGAAGTTTCCTAGATCAGTCCAATCCTTCACTGACTTAAAGAGGGGGTTAACAAGGCTCTTGCTGTTTGGAAATGAAGACCTGTATTATACAATAAATTCAAAATCCACTGATTAAAGTGTCTCAAACAACAACTGTTGGAAAAGGTCATACCAGCGGAAAGTACAAGAACTGTTTCATACAACCCATGACATGGACTATGCTGAATTTCTCTGGCTGTTCTCCCTCAACATTCTCTTTTGAATTATAATATATGAGGATGTAGTGATGTGGTTCCCATTCATGGGTGATGAGGGAGGATCTCTGAACTCATGCCAGTAGGGCAGAATATCTTTCAAGTCTAAATAAAGTAAAATGAAACAGACACGAAGAATTAATACTATGTTCTATGTAGAAGGCTGTCTACCAACTTTCCCATTAATTTCTGAAGAGTTTGGAAGCTGAGGTTTGGGAAATCAGAACCAGATGTTAATCTATTACAAGGATTATGATATTAACTGAAATTTTTCCATATTAAAATATATTTGGAAGTTCATACAATCTGTAAAACATAAGTTGTTCTTTTAAATGATCATATGTAGGATATAAGTGTATGCATGAAATTTTTATGGAACAAAATATTTCAGTCCTTGAATTAAAAGGTTTTGTAGCTCCAGGACTGTTAGCAATGTCTCCCTGTAAGTTGGGACAGGATGACCTGCTGTTTTAGAGCTCAAGAGCCACCACAGGGAAGGTGAAAGGAGATTGCCATGTCATACAGTTACAGCAGATGTGTACCTGCAGGTCCATACTTTCACGCAGAGCCTTACCCAGAAGCATCCTTAACTGCAGACAAAGCAGGAAAGAAATTTATGCGTAAGGATATACTAAGCAGCCCTGTAGCCCCCACAGGGGCTGTGTCAGACTTTGGGAACAAATCCAGGCAGGGTGAGGCATCAGGCTGAGTTTGGGTATGAAATACAAACACATTTTCAGGCTAGTAAGCAGCACCTTCCAACATTTGCAGTGGCATTGGCTAGTAGCTATATGGACAGGCAGGTTTTACTGTCATCAATTACAGACACGTGAACAGTAACAACTCTTACAAAATAAAGAATGAACCTTGCCCCCACAGTCCATTAATGGGAATACATTATGTCCAACTGGAATTTCTCTTAACTGTATGTATCTTTCAACTAAGAATTTGGTTTTTTCTCAAAATAACAGACAAATACATAATACCAATAACACAGTTTTTTCTTTGCTCTCAGCCACAAGTCAGGTTGTGTCTAAGATGCCCTCACCTAAAGACTAAGCCATAAGAATGGAATCTTTGTGGCATTCATTGTCACCTTCTCCATATGCTGGGGCAAAGAACATTACCCTCACTGTCCAATGACTGAGTGGGAAGCCAGGTGCTACTGCAAATAAACATAAGGGAAAGAAAAGATATCAGGCAAATATTCTGGGGTGACAGCAGCAATTCTAGTTCCCTACCATTCCAGGAACGCCCCACGGTCGTGTGTTAGATAGGAAACCTGAACATTACACCAAGTTACGTTCTGCTTCATGTATACGATGCATATACTTCAAAATAATTTCCTCACATAATTTCCTCACAGAAATAGAGGGAATGCCTGTTACACAATACACAAGTGTCATATATTCCTGCCAGGTTCACAGCAGCCTGTCCTTCACAGATTTGATTATTCCGCATTTTATGGTAGCATAAGGCACTTCATACCCTGAGTCTTCCCCGAGGAATGTTAACGCTTGTTAGAAGTACATGACCCAACCAGTATTACTACAAAACACTTGGAAAATGTTACATTGGAGTACTATTAATACACTCTATTGCACTTACAGGACATGACTGCATGTGGAAAATCTGATGACTTGCAAGCTTATTAACTTACTGAAATTCCTCATTGCTTTTATGAAAGATATGCCACAACTGAATTACCTGACCCTGGGTGATTCCTGGAAGTCCCTCTGGCCCCAGATATCTGATTTATTTCCAGGTACAAGAGCCTCCAATATGCTAACCAATTTCCATATCAGTTTTGGAAATA